TGGTGGCAGACAGAAGGCATAAATTGATATGCAATGTCACATGCTGGGTGTGCATTGAGCTGTGATATAGATATTCCTGTGTCTCATCAATATACTCTTTTAATACAACTGAGTGTCACAGCAAATCATATGGTTTCAGAGAAGGCTTTGCCTACTGCATGCACATTGCCGATATAAATTGTATGGATCTTGATTCTAGATTGAGGTCAGCCATTGTCTTTGGGAAGTCCCTCCTTGTTCCATGGATCCTCGACACATCACCACAGGGAGGCTGCCTAGTTGCAGGTAACAGTCTCACAATGCAGTGGCGGGGATTTCTGTGGCTTGTAAAAGCCGGGTGGCGATAGGCAGGAGGCCAAACAGCACCCATTCCCGCCTTAATCAGTATTCACTGGCAATAAGAACACATCCAGCTTCTCTCCCACTGCCCTCCACCATCATTTTATTACCCTTTCCGTCTGCCAGCCCATCTTCAAAGAACTGGTGACATTTCAGTATAAGCATCCAGTCTCTGTGAGAAGATCCCTAAAGAGTATTTAACATTTCAGTTGCTCTTAAAAGTGATTGTGTTTATGCAATCTGATTTCTATTTTGCTCCATATAGTCCTTGCTTTTGCCTCAAACATGAGATCCTGCCACTTACACCAGAATTTGTCTTAGCAGTCAAATTGATACCATCTCCACCATAGAATAGATGTTGTCATATCTTTATGTGCTGTACAATGACCGTGTAGGTATTATTCAAAGTAGGAATCGCTATTTCCTTGATAGAAAAGGTAACCACAACATTAAACCTTTAGATTAGTGGGTCTTTCCAAGCCATTGTAGGGCTTGCTTGTCTGCAGCGCACAAAGGTATCAAGTTAATGGAAAGTATCATGTGACCAAGGTAAATACCAACCACCAGGGTTGGTAAATATTAACCCTAACCCTATCAATCTCAACCATTTCATAACTACAGAATGGCCTCCATCCGCACCTTCTGCGATTCTGTGGTTGTGAAGTGGTTGAGATCCTCTGAGTGCGAGACACTGTCAAAGACACCATGTGTATAGTGACTGTAACGAGATCAGCGAGTTGGACCTCATAGAATGTAAGTTCCTTGATTGGGGCTGTTTATCTGATCATATAAAAAGAGGAGCGTCACAGATACTGACACTCTGATAGCTGATCAGAGCTATGGGCCAAGGAGTGGCAGATAGAGTTTAATTTAGATAAATATGAGCTGTTGCATTTTGGTAAGGCAAATCAAGGCAGGGCTTGTACACTTAATAGTAGGGTATTGGGGAATGTTGCCAAAAAGAGGTATTTGGAGTGCAGGTTCATAGTTCCTTGAAGGTGGAGTCACATGTAGCCAGGGTAGTGAAATAGGTGTTTAGTACACTGGTCTTTATTGGTCTGTGCATTGAGTATTGAAGTTGGGGTGTCATGTTGCGGCTGTACAGGACTTTGGTTAGGCTACTTTTGGAATACTGTGTTTCATTCTGGTTTCCCTGGGATTGGAGGATTTGAGCTATAGGGAGCGGCTGAATAGGCTGGGGCTATTTTCCCTGGAGCATTGGAAGCTGAAAGGTTACCTTGTGGAGGTTTATAAAATCATGAGAGGCATGGATAAGGTGAGTAATTAAGATATTTTCCCCAGGGTAAGACAGTCCAAAACTAGAGGCCATGGGTTTAAGGTGAGAGGGGAAAGATATAAAAAGGGCCTAAGGGGCAACTTTTTCATGCAGAGAGTGGTCTGTGTATAGAATGAGCTGCCAAAGGAAGTGGTGAAAGCTGGTACATTTACAACATTTAATAGGCATATGGACAGGTACATGACTAGGAAGAGTTTAGAGGGAAATGGGCCAAATGCTGGCAAATGGGGCTAGAGTAACTTAAGATATCTGGTCAGCATGGACGAGTTGGACCAAAGGGTCTCTCTCCATGCTGCACAACTCTATGACTCTATGACTGTGAAGACGCAGTACTAAAGTCAAAGGTTGTTCCTGTGTAAATAAAGGGTGACTTGGTAATGGCAGACTTGCCTCTGTGAAATCATTTCAGTGGTGACAAGAATAAAGCACATGCCTGAAGAAACTCACTTGCAACAGTTGTCCATGGGTTGGGGAAAGCATTTCTTATATCATGCCTTTGTTTGGAAAGCTTAACTTATTCGATCCTGCCATTGAGGACTGGGCTCAGTATGGGGAAAGAATGCATTATTTTTTTCTGTGTAAATGACATTGGTTTACATCTGCCACAATATGCAATTGTCCTGACAATCTGTGGGGCCGCAGCTTTTTCTGTTATTAGAAGCCTAATTTTCCCTGAGGCACCAGATACTAAAGCTTTCAAGAATTGACAAACATAGTTAAGGAAATTATGACCCAAGCCTCCTCTAATTCTGAGACACTAACTTTTACTCGGCAATTCAAGAACTAGAAGGATCCATATCTGGATTTTTGGCTAGATTAAGACTACAGGCAGAAATCTGTGCCTTTGGTTTAACTCTTACTGAGATGCTTAGAAACCATTTGGTATGTGGGATTAACGGTGTGACCATGCAAAAATGCCTACTAGCTGAAGCCCAACTGGACTTCAAACAGGTTCTACAACTGGCTTTATCATTGGAAAATGCAGCAAGTGGAGCATATGAGTTGTAGGGTATTCCAATGGAAGTGGGAACCCTCATCAGTCCAAGTGAGCTTGAGGAACACCACTTGAGTGAAGGCAATTGCACAGCTTCTCTCAGGACATATTCTGAACAGAGGGACTCTGGGTCAGCCCACAGCAAAACCCCAAAACAAAGCCAAGCCTTGGGCAAATGGTTAAAATTTTCTTCAAGATCAGGACTAGCAAGCCATTGTAGTTGCTGCCAGTATGCAGACTTGAGACAACTAAAGAATCCCACTAGACCTAAATTGCGTAAGATAACTGAAAGGTTAATGTCCAGGAGGGTGTCCAGGAGAGTTCACACCCTATAACATCCACCTATATCTGGTTTGGAACAGCTAAATTGCTTAGGAACTTCCAAATCCAAACCAATCAAAGTAAATGTCTGATTAAATGATCATCCTGTTCTAATGGAGGTTGATAGTGGAGTCTTACATTATGGCATTGCAAAACATTATTAAATAGGGTAGAATCTGGGGCACATAGCTCAATTCGAATTGAGCATCCACAAAAGTGAGAGAAAGAGAAATATAACAGGCCAGACAGAACACTATATGGAGGGAATTGCTTAGAGGTTTCTGTATGAAATGATCGCTGACCTCCTCGGAAAATTCTGTTTTCTTTGTTGAATTATCTAAAGCTTTATTTAGTTGTTGTGTTATTATCGTAAATAGTATTTATACAACTTTGTCTTTACATTTATCTGAGCCAGAAATCAAACATTTCCTAATCAGGGAAGATGACGAGGAGGAGGAGTTAAAATGGTGCAGGCTTATTTCTGGCCCTGTTCCCAGCAGAAGTTTCACTATTAAATACCAGTCAAGATTCCTGCAGCATTTATGAGACCCCTAACACTACTTTAGCCAATTTCTGAAGCTGCTACAAATTTCTATAAGGTAAACTGTCAGGGAAGATGAAACAATGGCCATTTCCAACAAAGGTGAATCTAACCATCACTTCATGACATTCAGTAGATTTGGTATTATTGAATCCTTCACTATCAAGATCCGGGGATTACCATTGATTAAAACTTAAACTGGACTCATAGTACTGTGGCTACAAGAAAATATGTCAGAAACTAAAATTACTGTGGCAAGTAAAAACCAAAAGAACTACAGATGCTGTAAATCAGGAACAAAAACAAAGTTGCTGGAAAAGCTCAGCAGGTCTGGCAGCAACTGTGAAGGAAAAAAACGGAGTTAACGTTTTGGGTCCAGTGACCCTTCCTCAGTATCTCACTTCCTGAATCCCCAAAACCTGTCTACAAGGCACAAGGTAGGAGTGGGATGTAAAGCTCCCCATTTGCCTGGATGAGTGCAGCTCCAACAACACTCAAGAAGCTTGACACTATCCAGGACAAAACAACTCGTTTGATTGGCTCCACATCCAGAAACATCCACGCCCACCATCAGAAACACTCAAGAACTGCAATGTGTGTAATTTATAAGATGCCCTACAAAAATTCACTAATATTTCTTCGGTACATTATCCAAACTCTTAATCTCTACCATCCAGAAGAACAAGGGCAAGAGATATATGGGAACACCACCACCTGCAAGTTCCCCATCAAGTCATTCACCATCCTGACTTGGAAATACTTCTTCAGTGTCATTGAGTCAAAATCCTGGAAATCCCTCCTAATAATATTGTAGGTCTATTTATACACCAAGGGTTACAGCTGTTCGAGAAGGCAGCTCATCGCCACCTTCTCAAGGGCAACTTGGGTTGGGCAATAAATAGTGGTCCAGCCAGTGATGCCAAAATCTCATGAATGAATAAAAGAAACATGTTAGGCCAGTGATATAGTTGTCTTTTCATGGAGCACGCACATCCTGGCACCATATGGAAAGCCTGGACCTTTGCAAGGCCCTGGGCCTTACCAGCTAGCTGGACATAGGAGTGTTCCAATTTTTCACGTTCCCACAGCTGGCAAGTTGCAATGTGGTTCTGTTCTTACAACAGTGGCATCTAGGTCAGGAACAGATCAGGATATGATGAGGGTGATGTGGCAATAGACATCTAATTTTTACACACAAACAGCCACACATTGCATTTCTCCTTATTTAACTTTGTAGTTCAATTAATCTTAAGGTTAGAAGTAAAAATGCACGAATCTTCAGATTTTGATTCCCACTCTTTGCAATGTTCTGGCAAATCTTTTTTTCCTGAGAGTACCTGAGATTTCAATGACATAGCAACAACCATATTTCATCAATGATTCTTTGTTATATCCCAGTGTGTAGAACAACAACCATCAACATTTATCATAGGAGCAGGAATAGGCCATTTGGCCCTTCATTACATTAACTTCTCTGTTCTTTGAGTTGAAAAGAACATTGTGCCCCAAGTAAGTTTTGAAAGATCAAAAGAAAGTTGAAAATGTTGTCTGTCTTATGAAATTTTGGAATTACCCTTGCTTCAAAGGAGTGATTAGCAAACAAAATTTTACTCTGAACCAAATAAAGCCATTTTAGAACAAGTGACTACAAGCTCAGTTAAAAATGATACGTAAGGTTATTATGTATGTAGCGTGTTATAACATTAAACTGATGGAAGATAATGTCTTGAAATAAGTCTTCAAATGCACAAGTACTTGTAAACAAAATATCATCACAGTCCCTTAGGGCTTCCCTCATTAGAAAGAGAGATAGAGAGAGAGAGAGAGGACTGAGTGGTCATTTAACCTGAGGATCACCATACCTCAGGACAGATTGAGAAAGCAGAACCTTCATTGGTAATTTCAGCTCGCACAGGAATTGAACCCACACCCTTTGTTATCACTCAACATTGCAAACCAGTTATCCAGCCAACTGTACTTGCACTGAAAACAACAAATGCTGGAGATCACAGCGGGTCAGGCAGCATTCATGGACAGAGGACAAGCTAATATTTCGAATCAAGATGATTCTTTATCAGAGCTGTTTATTTGAGACCTGAAATTCGAGTATCCACTTTAGGGCCAGTTTTAGGGATAGAGTGACACCACAATACTTGTAGATGTACTACGGCACAATTGAAACATGAAATAGTGAGCTGTGTTTACTTTAATCACTGAGGAGAAGAAGAACTAGGTACAAGGATTGAAACCAAATAAAATGAATGTTATTTGGAATGAGTGAAGTTTAGCAAGTTTATGATTGACGGTTGTAAGAGTTTTTTTTAATGAGTTATGTAACATACTATATTTGTCATTAACAAGTGCAATACATTTCAAACGCTGTTTCAGGATAAGGCCAAATAAACCAGGAAAACTCAGAACTGGCAGAATGGATGCTATGTGGGAGTTTGTGACAGAAACTGCTTCCTGACTAAACAGAACCTGTTATATTATTCCTTCAGCTCATTGCTTGTCCCCTTATGATAAGCCAAATTATATAGGACACCACTAGAAAAGAGAACTTTCAGACAGACATGATCAAAAAATAAGCAACATGTGCAAAAGACACCTAATGAAAAATGTACTTATTGACTGGTTGAGTCTTACAGCTGTTATAATTAAATCTCCATATGCTTCTCCAGTCCAAGATGGAAAACACAGTCTTGAAAATATCAGTCCTGTGAAAGAGTCAACGCTTTTTGTTAATGCTGATCTTTCTTGCAACCACTTAGCCAGTCAAATGAAGGAGTCTATGTTGCATGATAATTCTTCTCAAACAAGAGATCAAAGTTTCACTTGCCTGCTATTTGCAGGAAGATTGGGGCTCAGGTTAGTGTTTCTCACATTTGATCCAATCTCTATTCCACTTCCTGTCTGCTTGATGAACTGTATAACAGCTAGCAGTGGGGTGAGGTCAATCAACGCAACTAATTAGGTGTTGTTTTCTCAGTATCTACGCTGTGGAACAAAGAAAAATTGCTTTTGATTAATTACCAAACATTTACTCTTGTATAATTTAACTCTCTTAATCATTGATTTTTCCCAAATAGTTCTGTTTACTTGAATAAATATTAGCTTAGATTTTGCTGATGTGGAATATCATCTAATTTGCCACATTAATTAGACTTCTTCCTTCACACTTCAGTTCAAAAACTTTTTGGCCTGTGCTTTGCTGGAAGCATATCTGGAATCTTGTTGAATGATGGGACCAACAGGCTACCTAATTATCTCGGGAGTTAAGGATGGAGGAATAAATAAAGGAATGACAGAGAAGAAGGATGAATTTTAGTGAGTATTTTAGAGCAAAATCAGGTATAGGAATAGAAATAAAGAATTTGATTAAGAGACAAAGTGTCAGAAAAGAAAGGTGAGAAAATAAAGACTTAATTTTATCTTTTTATAGAGGCTTCTAATAATAATTTACCATCTTTAGGAATGAGAGTCCAGTTTCAATTGTTCCCTTGAAGGGCTGGAGAACTTCATTCCATTGCAAGAAGATGCACATTATCGCTAACATAAAACAGCAAAATCTGCAAGTTCCCCTCCAGGCCACTCACCACCCTGTCTTTTTTTTTAAATTCTCTCATGGGACGTAGGTGTTGCTGGCTGGGTCAGCATTTATTGACCATCACTAATTGACCCTTGAGAAGGTGGTGCAGAGCTGCCTTCTTGAATCGCTGTAAGACTTGTGCTGTAGATAAACCCACAATGCTGCTAGGGAGAGAGTTCCAGGATTTTGACCAAGTGACACTGAGGAATAGCGATTTTGCTTTCAAATCAGGATGATGATTAGGTTAGATAGGACTGGAGTAGGTGTTTTCCCATGTATCTGTTGCCCTTGTCTTTCTAGATGGGAGTGGTTGTGGGTTTTGAAAGTGCTGTCTAAGGATTTTTGGTAAATTTCTGCAGTGTATCATGTAGATAGTACACACTGCTGCTACTGAGCATTGGTGGTGGAGGGAGTGGACGCTTGTGGATGTGGTGCCAATCAAATGGGCTGCTTTGTCCTGGATGGTGTCAAGCTTCTTGAGTGTTGTTGGGGCTGCACTCATCCAGGCAAGTGGGGAGTATTCCATCACACTCCCGACTTGAGCCTTATAGATGATGGACAGGTTTTGGGAAGTCAGGAGGTGAGTTAGTTACTCTGATATTCCTAATCTCCGTCCTGCTTTTGTAGCTACTGTGTTTATGCAGAGTCCAGTTGAGTTTCTGGTCAATTGTAACCCCAAGTTGTTGATAGTGGAGGATTCAGTGATGGTGGCACCACTAAATATCAAGGGGTGGTGGTTAGATTGTCTCTTGCAGTCATGACTTCGCATTTGTGTGGCATAAATCTTACTTGCCACTCATCAGTACAAGCCTGGATTTTGTCCAGGTCTTGTTGCTTGGAAATATCTTGGACTTGAAAATATAGCACTGCTCCTTCAGTGTTGCTGAACCACAATGCTGAAGTTCCCTCCCTCAGGGCATTGTGGGTCTACCTACTGCACATGGACTGCAGAGGTTCAAGAAGGCAGCTCAGCACCTCCTTCTCAAGGACAGCTAGGGACAGGGCAATCAATTATGACAAAGCCAGCAATGTTCACGTTCCACAGGTGAATAAAGTGAAACAAAAATAATCACTCCTATACCAGTGTTGGGACAAAATCCTGAATGCTTCTCCTATGAGCATTATCGGTTTATCTACAGACTGTCACCTCTCTTCACTCCAGCAACTCTCTCACCATCTCTCCCTGTTGCAGCAGCCCCTAAGGAGTGGCTCAGTGGTTAGCGCTGCTGCTTCACAGTGCCAGGGACCCAGGTTCGATTCCACCGTGGGTGACTATGTGGAATTTGCATATTCTCCCTGAGTCTGTGTGTGGGTTTTGTCTGGGTGCTCCAGTTTGCTTCTAAAGTCGAAAGACGTGCAGGTTAGTTGGATTGGCCATGTTAAATTGCCCCACAGTGACCAGGGATTTACAGGCTATGTGGATTAGCCACAGGAAATGTGGGGTTACAGGGATAGGGTATGGGTGGGATGTTCTTCAAAGGGTCTGTGTGGACTCTATGGGCCGAGTGGCCTGCTGAAGGGATTCTGTGATGCAGCAGCTGCCTCACCACATTCCCCTGCTGCAGCCTCTCTCTCATCTCCTTTCCAGCCCTGCAGCATCTCTCATTGCTGGTGTTCCAGTCCTTTGGCAAAGCACCACTTCTCTTCAGTGCTGGCTGCTCCAGCAAGCACAGACTGTTTCTCTGCCATGTCACAGCTTGCTGGATGGTTGACTCATTAACAATGGTAAGCCACATTAAACTGGTTGCTATTATAACAGCAGTATAGCTAATGAGTTGGAGCTTGTATCTCCGTATCTGAAAGAAGAGCCACTCTGTGGTTCAATAAGTAACAGGGCCATGTGGACAACAAAATGCATAGTGGGTCGCTGCTGAGTAGATGTTGTTAACTTCATTTCTTTTTTTGCCAACGTTCTCAACCTCCTCAGAAAGTTGTTTGCTTGTTAAGGTGTATTCCCAAAATGTTGCTGCCCTCATACAACTTGTCCAAGTGGTTGCTCAGTTTAATGGTCTCTCTAAGGTAGCTGGCTGCAGAACCACTCTGAAATGCCATGAATAGCGATTGATATGGAGAAGCATTGACTTCTGGTTTTCAAATGATCGGCTAGGCAAACAGAAATAGGAATCTTGATCAATTTTCTTCCCACCACCCAGTTGTAGAAGTTCATACTGTGGGCTAAGATCAAAAGTTGAATAGCCTGCCAAGCCTAATATATAAATGATGGCCACTTGGTTAAGGTTCCACTTGGTACATGTGGGATTGTACTCTAGCAAGGTGTCAATATTCTCCACAGAGGAGCAGAAGGTGGGAGGCAGAAGATGAAAGTTAGATCTGCTTTTTTTCTAAACTGCTTATTTTGATGTCTGGCACAATTCAAAATCAGAAAATAATAATAAGTTATATGGATTTGTGAACTGCCTCACTCTTTGCTTTTAAGTATCAATGATTAGAATTAGGTGTATTGTCACGTGTACTCAATTACAAAAGAACAGGGGTGCAGTGAAAATTGTACAATGTTGCCAACACACAGAGCCATCTTAGGTACAAAGTACCCAGGTACAAATGTTAGATACAAAAAGTAGAAAATAAAGAAAAATGTTACACTGCACTGCATATATACATAATATAAGGTAGGAAAAGAAGAAATAAAAAGATAAACATTACAGTCTTTCTTTCAGGGCTTTCATGTGGTCTGACCAGGTTCCCAACCAGTAGCCATCTTCATTCTGGATCCACTGGCCACCAACCCCTGCTCCGCTCCAGGCTGTTGACCGTCCCCACTTTACTCTGGGCCTGCTGGTTGCCGTCCCTGCTTCATCCCTACTGTCCCTGCTTCGCTCCAGGTCACTAGCAGAAGGGGAAAATGACAGAAAAGAAAACATAAGAGGGAAAAACATGAAAGAGAAAAGGAACAGATGGCCTGAGTGTCTTACTCCGTCGCCATCTTGGATCATCAAAGACAATATCTTTGACGTTGATGCTTCTAACTGTGTTTTCATAACTCAGTTAGCTAAATGGCTGGTAATTGATGTCAACAGCATGAGTTCAATACCCATCTCCTCATGAAGTTACTATGGTGGACTTTCCTTCTTAATTCCACCCCGGGCACGTGAAGTGCGGTGACTCTCAGGTTAAACCACTATCAGTCATCTCTCTCTCTAATGAGACAGCAGGACTACGTTGACTTCACCTTTTATCATAACTCCTTAAAGTGTTGATGTATGCTTTGAGAGATGACATTTAAAACCTTCCTCAAAACTTCCGTGTTTTTTGTGCGTAAACTTGGATGGAGAGGAAAGTCAGGTGATTCAACTACAGATGCATCAGAGACACAGTGGCCTATCTCCAAATTGTACATGTATACACTTTGCAGTAATCATCACCGGAATGGGAAATCTTGGGTGGCTTTCCGTATTAGCTCAGGGGTGTTGATACCAATTATGGCAATCTTTTCCTTCCTTCACTGAAGTAAACTAACACAGCACACCCTGAAAATTGAGAATGATGTCTGCTGATTTATAGGCTTCATGTGGATAGTGGCAGTCTGAGATTCTAATAATGGCGCTCCACCGACAGCTGATATTAACTCTGGACAAAATGCTCGGATGGGATTTTTTGCAGCGATGAGATGGGGAAACCTCCAAAATGTAAAACATATTGGCAGTGCTGCCCAACAATAATCAAGAAAATTAGAACAATGCACTGCTACTTCCATAATGGATCAACAACTGAGTAAGGGTCAAAGTTAGGAAGGCCAAAAATTTAAAGAGTTCTCGTCGGGGAGCTGTGGGACACTGAAGTTAAAATAATTGATTCCATCTGGAAGTAATTATCTCTGGCTGCAAGTGGCCTTGTTTGGGATCTCCGCCAGATTCACACCAGCTCCTAGTTGATGAGAAAACCACTGAGCGCCTGCCAGATCCATGCTGACGTAGCTTGGAAACTCCCCCAAATATGACACCCCATCACTGGGAAGAGTGGACACAAGACATTCCCTCATGCCTCCTATTGGGCCTTGGTTAATGAAGCTGAATTCCAACACAACAACATTCTGACCAATTCTCTGTTTCCTGGCCAAAATATTTGTTTAGTTCCAGGGATTGGATTAAGGGTAACAACTTAAATCTTATTGTTAACATTACCTCAACTTTGAAAGTTCTCTGTTAAGTTTGAAACTCCCCATGGATGTGCTAATTTAGAAAAGTAGTCCATCCAGGGAAATGATAAATGTTCAGTATTATTCTGTCTGCCATGTTTTGCAACATCGTTCTAAGTTCCTCACATTTATTCTTGGAATGACTTTTCTCATTTGTACAGCAAGATGTCAACACTTTACTTGACTGTTAGGGGTGTTGGGCAGAGACTACTGTGGTGCCAACCTTGCTTTTTGTTCCCCTTTCCATAGATTGTTTTGCTTTGTCTGCTAAGAAGCTCCTGAATTCTTTTGTTACTTCTTTGGACTTCAGGTTGTAACTCAGCTCTCTCTTCTACATACATTTGTTGTTGAATACTGTTTCACTTTTGACGTACATCTTGTCAGACATAGTTCATATTTATCACATTTTGTAGTTTATAATGTGCTTCTTCTTCTACAGTTCAGCTATTTCAGTAAAAACTGAAAGAACTGCGGATGCTGTAAATCAGGAACAAAAACAA